TGCAAAGACCTGGAGTTAGAAAAACAAAAGGGAAGAACATGCTCAGCATGTCTCAAGCTGAAAGAACTGAAGTGAAAATTCAAGCCTTGATTACTATATTGAAAGAATCTACAGGCAAAATACTAAATGTTACAGGAACCATCAAAGGAAGGTGGAAGGAATACACAGTCACTGTACCGATAACCATTTCAAGAGGCAGCATTTAATCAAGAATTGATGATATTGAAGGAAGAAGTCCAAGCTGCACTGAGGGAGTTGGCAAAAACAATGCTACAGGAACTGACAGTATGCAAATTGAAGTGTTTCAAACAAACTGATGTAGGGCTGGAGGTGCTCACTCATCTATGCCAAGAAATTTGGAAGTCAGTTACCTAGCTAACCAACTGGAAGATATCCATATTTGTGCTCATTCCAAAGAAAGGTGACCCAATGGAATTCAGAGATAATCAAACAATATCATTAATATCACATGCAAGTAAAATTTTGCTGAAGACAACTCAAAAAAATGGTTGCAGCTGTACCTCGATAGGAAGCTGCCAAAAATTCAAGCCAGATTAAAAAGAGAATATGAAACGAGAGATGTCATTGCTGATGTCAGATGGATCTTTGCTGAAAGCGAAGAATACCAGAAAGAGGTTTACTGTTCTTTATTGATTATGTCAAGGCATTTGACTGTGTGGATCACAACATGTGGACAACACTGGGAAGAATGGGTATTCCAGAACGTTAAATTGTGTTTATGAGGCACCTGTACATGGATCAAGAGGCAGTCATTAGAACAGAACTAGGTAATACTTAGTGGTTTAAAATCAGAAAGGATGTGTGCCAGGGTTGTATCCTTTCACCATACTTACTCAACTTGTATGATGATCACATAATCCAAGAAACTAGATTATATGAAAAAGACATGGTATCAGGATTAGTAAAAGACTAACAACCGACAGTATACAGATGGCATATCCTTGCTTGCTGGAAGTGAAGAGGACTTGAAATGCTTACTGATGATGATCAAAGGCTACTGTATGGATTGCATCTCAATGTAAAGAAAATGAAAATCCTCACAACTCAACCAGTAAATAACATCATGATAAACTGAGAAAAGATTGAAGCAGTCATCGACTTCAATTTGCTTGAATCCACAATCAATGCTCATGGAAGCAGCAGTAAAGAAATTAAATGATGCATTGCATTAGGCAGATCTGATGCCAAAAACATCTTTAAAGTGTTAAAGAGCAAAGATATCAGTTTGAGGGCTAAAGTGTGCCTGACCCAAACCATGGTATTTTCAATCACCTGTCAATCTCTTATGCAAGTGAAAGTTGGAAGGCTGTAGCAGAAAGAGTGCATTTGAATTATTGTGTTGGTGAAGAACATGGGACTGCCCAAAGAACAAATTAATCTTTCTTGGAAAAATTGCAGTCAGAATGATTCTCAGAAGCAAGAATGGAGAGACTTCATCTCTTGTACCTAGGGCATGTTTTCAGGAGGTACCAGTCCCTATAGAAAAACACCGTGCCAGGTAAAGTGGAGGGTCAGTGAAAAAGAGGAAGACCTTCAATGAGATGGATTGGCACAGTGGCAGCAGCAATGGACTCAAACACAACAGTTACTGTTAGGATGGCACAGGAGTGGGCGGCATTTCATTTTATTGTGCACAGGCTTACTATGAGTCACAACAACACCTAACAACAACAGCAAATCAGGGTGCTGAACCAATGCAAATCCATCTTTGCTTGGGAGAGATCCCTCTGTCCTGCTGGAATGGAGCAGCAGAGCTTATCAGCTGCAGAGGGCAGCGCATGCCACCAAGGATCCTAACTGGAGAGTGGGAAGAGGAACCCATTTCATCCACCTTCTCCTCTGTTTTAGACCAGGTCTCCAATTTTAACTCATTCGCTAGGCAAAGATAGATGGAACCAACTGTTTGAAATGAGATCATTTTCTTTTCCTGTTTAAAAAGTTTCCTTTTTATTTCTCTAGTTTTCCCTGGCATCAAAATTCCACCAGGGAGTGGAGTGACTTAGGGCAAGTAGCCTGACCTTGGATTCAAGCTTTGACTTGGCAAGCACTCATTTTGTAACGTTGGATTTCGTTTGGGCCTTAGAGTCTTGATCTGTAAAATTAACCAGTCAGTCTTGATGCTTTTTAAAGTCCTTTTTACACTTAAACTGATTCCATGTGGGACTGCCAAATTTAGCAAATAGAAATACAGGATAGCAAATTAAATTTAAATGTCAAATAAACCATGAACGCTTTTTTTTAGTGTAACTATATCCCACTCAATATTTGGGATATATTTAAAATACAAAATTATTCATGTTTTTTCTGAGATTTGAATTTAACTGGACATCCTGTATTTCACCTAGCCACCATAATTCTAGAGCATTTTTGCCTCTCCAAGATAATACATATATTACAGTAAACAAGAGATGTTTGTTCTTGGAGGAATGGTTGTCTAAACTTTGAGTATTCTTAGGCAGATCTATATTAGAAACCATGGGCTCTTTTGTGTGACTTGACCTCCCACATGGATGACACAGAATAGTCACATAAAGGTAAGATTAGAAGTCTCCAGAATTCCCTTCCTCCTTCTCAACACTAAACCCAATGGATGCTTGAAGTTAGGGTTTCCAGACACCACAGAGAGGTAAACTGGTAGTTTGAGCTGAAGAAGACAAGGAAGAACAACAGAAAAAAGAAAACATTAAATCTGAGATTTACCATTAAATAATCATGAACAGATGATATTCTGGACTGAATTGTGTCACTCTAAACAATACATTGAATTGCAAACATCTTGGTACCTGTGAACACAGCCTTGTTGAGAAGTGGGGTCTTTGCAAATGTTTTCAGCTAAGATAACATGAAGTCATACTGGAATAGGATGGTCTTCATCCAGTATGGATACTGTCCTTATAAAGGAGATACACAGAGGGTTGTGGTCATGTGAAGACAGAGCCTGGGATTTGAGTGCTGTGTCTACAAGTAAGGAACATCCAGAACCTCGAGCTGTCATCAGAAGCTAGGACAGTGACATAGAATAGATTCTCCCTCAGAACCTTGGAAGGAATCAACCTTGTGAACATGCCACTTTCAGAGTCCCAGCCTCCAAAACAGTAAGTTTCTGTTCTTATAAACAATCCAATTAGTGGTACTTTGTTACAGTAGCCTGAGAAACAGATACTAATGTGTTTAAAATTTTAGCATATGTCATCCAAACACAAAAGCCGTCCACGTCTTGATTTTGTTTCTCCTCTATACTGATTTCATTTTTCTGGCCAGTAAGAAATCATCATGATTGTTCCCATGCATACATAATGAGTTCATGTACAGAAATGAAAGAATCAGTTCTCAAAATAAGAGAGGAAAGAGATAATAGAAGAAATAAAGCCACAGAAACAAAATGGGCAAATCAAACTATCAAATTTCTGTTTTAAGCTGGAATTTTAACAACTCAATGTATCAATACTGGCCATGTCATGCTAATTATAATTTTTTATTGACTATTTTTATTAACTAAAGAGAGAAAATAGGTGATCTGTTCTGTCGGTTTGCCATACAGTGATGGCTTGCATGTTGCTGAGTAGCTAGCTGGGAGCTATGCCACTGGTATTTCAAATACCAGCAGTCACCCCTGATAGACACATTTCAGCAGTGTTCCAAATTCAGACAGATGAGGAAGAAAGACCCATCAATCTATTTTCAAAAATTAGTCAAATAAAACTTTATAGATCACATTAAATTGTGGTATTGGCAAAGAAAATGAAATATCGATTCAGTTCTGACTCAGTATAAGGTTTCCAAAGCTATAAATCTTTGTAACAGCAGAAAGTCTCATCTGTCTCCTGTGGAGTAGCTAGTGGACTTGAACCGCCAACCCTGTGGTTAATAATCCTATACTTATCCTACAGAGCCACCACATTCCTTATATTGAATATACCATAAACTATCAAAAGAATGAACAAATCAATATTTTTTTTCAAGTGCCTTCAAGTCAGTTCTGACTCATAGTGACCCTGTCTAGGGTTTCCAAGGAATGACTGGTGGGTTTGAACAGCTGACCTCACAGTTCAAACAGACCTTGCGATCCAGTGCATTATCCTGCAGCACCACACCACAAATCTTAGCAGAGGATGGTTTCAATCCACAGACCTCTGGGTTATGGGCACAGCTCATTTCCACTGAGCCACTCAATCTTAGAAGAAGTAAAACCTGAATCCTCCTTAGAAGCAACCATGGTGAAACTATCTTTTCACTTTGGATACATCAACAGGGAAGTTCAGACCTTATTAAAGGACATTATGATTGGCAAAGTAGAGGATCAGCGAAAGTGAAGAAAACCCTCAATGAAATGGACGGTCACTATTGTGACCTGAGAAGGGACTCAAAAAAGTCAGCTGCAGATGTGACAGACCCAGAGAGTGTTGCTTCTGTCTCACAAAAGGTACTGTGAGACACAGCTGACTTGATGGCAATTAACAACTATTTCAAAAAGTCAATATATTTGGTGGATAGGAACTTTCATCCACCAAAATTATTGACTTGAACATGAAGCAAAAGTAGTAAGACTGGATTCCTGGGATGAAATTTGGGGAACTACTGTTATGTGTGGCGCTGTAGAATAAGCACTGATAGCTTTTAACCACAAGGTCGGCAGTTCAAACTCACCAGCAACTCCTTGGAAACCCTATACAGGGTCTCTATGAGTTGGAACTGACTCAACTGGACAGCACTTAACAACTATAACAGCAATTGTTATAGCAGACAGGAGCCTAGCACTGCAGCACACATTTTAACAAGCTTCTTAGCTAATTCTCACTTACTGAGTAAGGTAGATACCATCTCTGTTTACAGGGAGAAACTGTTAGATCTGAAACCCAGATAGGTGAGAGACTTCACCTGAATTGGATAACAACAAGAGAGTGGTCAGCCTGAGAGTCCAGCTCAGATCTTCTGACTGAATGCCCCATGTTTATTCACAAAAATGTCTCTTTTTTTAGGAAAAGAAGCCAACCTTCTAATGCAAACTCTGAACAAGTTGCATACCCCTGAAGAAAAACTGGATTTTTTATTCAAGAAGTATGCTGAATTGGTAAGATCTTTGATTAGAGTTTTATAAGAAAGACACACATGCTGTGATTGGAGATGAGAAAGGGGACTGTTCATTTTTCATGTATATTCTTACCCCCCTTAACTGGCTGCCTTAAACAAGCCAAGTCTAGAATTCATAAAAGTAGAAGTTGTCTTTTTTTAAAAAGAGAGTGAAAAGAAAAGAACAAATTGAGGGGTATCCACAAAAAGACAGAAGGAGGCTAGAGTTAGAATGTGTTCTATCTTCAATTATGTGTATAATTTAGGGACTGGGAAAAAGAAAACTAGATCATTTAAAATTGTGGATGCTTTAAAGTTCCTTTTAGCCTTGCAATAAAACAGAAATACAACCAACAAAATGATAAATGTTCAATCTTACGTTCAGTTGTTGTAACCAAGCTTTTTAGCCCTTGGGAATGCAGAAGGTTAAGATAATCTCACCCTTCAGTTTGGGATACCTTCTTGTCAAGTCTGACTGATTGATTAATTGATCCTCTTTGATCTGCATTTTTCTTCCCCTTCTACTACTACTGAAAAGTGTTTGGTGTGGAGTGTTTTGTACCTGGCTCTGGGGCCTTCCTTTCAATAAGTTAGGACCTTGGGGAGCAAGGAAGCCATTGACAATTACCAGAGACTTAGTTAAGGGCATGACTGAGTTGCCAGTATTTCTAGAATTGAGTGATGATGAATGGACGGTCCCCTTCATGAAGTCCAGTTGGAGCGAAAAGGAAAACTTAGTATGGCCAGCATCTCTGGTTTCAATGAAACGTCACAAACACCTGGTGATATGAAGAAGAAATGAAACAGAAAACAGCAACTTCTAAAGTCTGTGTACTGCCCCAGAGAGTGAGTCCTACAGCTGGGAGGTAACTTACTTCTCAGTGAACTTAAACAGTTTAATTCTCTGTTTCAATTTTTTAAATAAGATCCCACTTATTTCTTTCTCTTGGAAAAGTAGTAACAGGAAAATGAAGTTTAAGTCCATGTACAACACAAAATTGTCCTCCAGCCAGTTGGTGGAACTGTCCAGGAAGGTAGATTCATCTTCAGGTACTGAGTCCTGGTATGGTGCTGTAGGATAAGCACTGGACTACTGACTGCAGGTCAATGGTTTAAATCCATCAGTCATTCCTTCGAAACCCTATACAGAGTTGCTATGAGTCCGATCTGACTCGATGGCACTAATCAGCAGTTGAAGCTTACGGGTCAAAATCTCTTCAGGAACATAGACTCTTTCTGGGATTAATTTCCTGTTGTAAATTGTGTATGTTTTAAAAAGAGAGGCTCCAAAACTGAGTAAGTTTCAAGTCTTCAAACACTGAAAGTCCCTGCTTGCATCTTATCCTTATATATGGATTTATTAAGTGACTTCTTTTGGTGCTCCTATAAGATAAGCACTGGACTACTAAGTGAAAAGTTGGCAATTCAAACCTACCAGCCACTCCTTAGGAGAAAGAGGAGACTGTCTGCTCCCATAAAGGTTTATAGCCTCGGAAACACTATGAGTTGGAATCTACTTGATGATATAGGTTTAGATGATTTTCTTTGCTTTTCCCTCTAAATTGTGTCCTGTAATCCCCTGCTTGTTCTCCCTTCCTCCTTCCTGTCCTTTCTTCAATTTTCTGCATTTGTTTTGCTGAATTGCCATGCATTTGACCCAGAAATATTGTGAAGCCCTGAGAGTAGCTGATTGCTTTAATTCTGCCAAAAATACTTTTTAATTATATTTAATCATACAAACCCCATTATAATAATATAAGAAGAGTGCTGAATACATAACAACAAACAAAATTACCTCTAATCAACCATCTAAATCACAAACTTTTGTTTTAATCCATGTTCCTTTCCTGTTCGGCTATGTTTTTCTTTCTGTTGTGCATAGGGTCGGTATAGGTCAGAACAAACTTGATGGCATTTAACAATAGATTCCTTCTAATGTTTGCTTTACCAAGGATTGTTGCTGTGAACATCCTCAAACACAAATTTGTTCCATTTCCTGCTTTTTTATGACCTCAGGGGAAAGTTCTAGAAATGGCATCACTAAATTAAACAGTATGAATGCTTTTTAGTTTTAACATTTCTTTCCAAAAAGTGAAAGAAAATTACAAAGCAAGTCACAATGTATCAGTTGTATTGCAAATTGTTTAACATTGGTTATTATCCTGGTGTGGCACTTTAGGATAAACACTAAACTGCTAACTGCAAGATCAATGTTTCAACCCCACCAGCTGCTCCTCAGAAACCTATTCAGTGTTCCTAGGAATTGGAACTGACTTGATGGCACTTAGCACCAACAACATTATCCTTCTAGTAACCATTTTAATGCTAGAAAATAAATAGGTATCAAAATAATATTAAAAAAAAAAAAAAGATTTGCTTCACTCCACTGTCATCTAGCTATCCTTGCTCTTATCAATGTTTCCACATTTGCCTTTTGTTTTTTCCACTTGTTGGCTTACATCAAGGCCATTCACATTTAGTTTCTAGGGCCATATTCTGTACTTGGATGAATCAGGCAGTATTCTAGACAAGCACTTTGTTATTATTGTTGTTAGGCGTCGTTGAGTTGGTTCCAACTCATAGTGACCCTTTGAACAACAGAATGAAACACTGGTCTTAAACCATCTTCATTCATAATTGTTACACTTGAGCCCATTGCTGTTGCCACTTGGCCAGTCTATCTCATTGGAGGTCTTCCTCTATTTCACTGATCCTCCTCTTTACCAAGCTTGATGTCCTTCTCCAGGGACTTGTCCCTTCTGATAGTATGAGAGATGAAGTCTTGCCATCCTGGCTTCTAAGGAGCATTCTGACTGTACTTCTCCAAGACAGATTTGTTTGTTCTTCTTGCAGTTCATGACCATTTTAATATTCCCCTCCAACACCATAACTCAAAATCACTGATTCTTCTATGATCTTCCTTATTCACTGTCCAACTTTCACATGCACACATGCCAAGAAATTTGGAAGGCAGCTACCTGGCCAACCAAATGGAAGCAATCCATATTTGTGCACATTTTGGAGAACAGTGACCCAAGAGGATACAGGAAATCATTGAATAATATCATTAATACCACATGCGAGTAAAATTTTGCTGAAGGTCATTTTAAGAAGAATTGCAGCAATACATAGACAGAGAACTGCCAGAAATTGAAGCTGGATTCAGAAGATGCTGTGGAACTAAGGACATCATTGCTGATGTCAGACAGATCTTGGCTGAAAGCAGAGAATACCAGAAGGATATTTACTTGTGCTTTATTGACTATGCAAGAGTCTTGACTGTGCAAATCATGACAAACTATGGATAACATTGCAAAGAACTATTCCAGACACTTAATTGTGCTCATGAGGGACCTGTACATAGACCAAGAGGCAGCCATTTGTACAGAACAAAGGGATACTGAATGGTTTAAAATCAGGAAAGGAATGTGCCAGGATTAGATCCTTTCACCATATTTATTCAATCTGTATACTGAACAAATTATCCAAGAAGCTGGATTACATAAAGAAGAACATAGCATCAGGATGGGAGGAAGACTCATTAACAACCTGTGATATGCAGATGATACAACCTTGCTTACTGAAAGCAAAGAGAACCCAAAATACTGCTGATGAAGATCAAAGACCACAGCCTTCAGTTTGGGTTGCACCTCAATGTAAAGAAAACAAAATTCTCACCACTGGACCAATAAATAACATCAAGATAAATGGAGAAACAATTGAAGCTGTCAAAGATTTCATTTTGGTTGGACCCACAATCAATACTCATGGAAGCAGTAGTCAAGAAATCAAATGATGTATTGCATTAGGCAAGTTTGTGGCACAAAGCCTACTTAAAGTGTTAAAGAGCAAAGATGTCAGTTTGAGGACTAAGGTGTGCCTGACCCAAGTCATGGTATTTTCAATCACCTCATATGCAGAACATGGAAACACTAAATGGTTTAAAATTAAGAAAGGTGTGCAAAAAGGTTGTATTCTTTTACCATACTTATTCAACTTGTATGCTGAGCAAATAATCCGAGAAGCTGGCTTATATGAAGAAAAACGTGGCATCAGGATTGGAGGAATACTCATTAACAACCTGAGATATGCAGATGATACAACCTTGCTTGCTGAAAGTGAAGAGGACTTAAAACATTTACTGATGAAGATCAAAGAGCACAGCCTTCAGTATGGATTGCATCTCAATGTAAAGAAAACAAAATTCTCACCACTGGACCAATAAACAACATTCTTTTCAATGGAGAAAAGACTGAAGTTGTCAGGGACTTCATTCTTCTTAGATCAACTATCAACACTCATGGAAGCAACAGTCAAGAGATCAGACGATGTATTGCATTAGGTAAATCTGTTGCATAAGACCTTTTTAAAGTGTTGAAGAGCAAAGATGTCAGCTTGAAGATTAAGGTGCGCCTGACCCAAGCCATGGTATTTTCAATAACCTCATATGCATGCGAAAGCTGGACAGTGAATAAGGAAGACCACAGAAGAACTGAAGCTTTTGAGTTATGGGGTTGGAGGCAAGTACTGAAGGTGCCATGGGCTGCCAAAAGAACCAATAGATCTGTGCTCGAAGAAGTGCTGCCAGAGTGTTCCTTGGAGAACAAGATGGCCAAACTTTGTCTCTCATACTTTGGACATATTGTCAAGAGGGACCAGTCACTGGAGAAGGATATCATGCTTGGTAAGGTGGAGTGTCAGAGAAAAAGAGGAAGACCTTCAATGAGATGGATTGGCCAAGTGGCAGCATTGATGGACTCAAGTGTGGCAACAGTAGTAAGGTTGGCCCAGGATTAGGCAGTGTTTTGTTATGTTGTGCATAAGGTCGCTATTAGTCGGTACCAACTCGATGACACCTAACAACAGCAACAACAACAACATATGCATATGAAACTTAGTCTAGTATTATTGTTGTTATTAAGTGCCATATAGTCAGTTTGATTCATAGCGACCCTGCGTAAGATTTCTGAGGAGTGGCTGGTGAGTTTCAATCACCAACCT